CGTAGTGGTCGGATAGTTCACCATAGTGGTCGGAGAGTTCACCAAAGTGATCGGTGCTAGCGTGGGCACATCAGTTACGAATATGGTTTGGTTAATTTGGTTTGTAACTGTACTACGAAGAAAAATTGTATCCAATTTATTTATTTTTGTATCCATCATCGAGCATCATGTTTCATATTCCACATCATGTTAAGCATGGCAATGTTACTACGTGTAGTAAACGAAGGTGAGCACGTGGTAGTTAATCAAGTTGCGGAGGAGGTTGATCTGTCTGTTGAGGTCGGATCGAAGACTTGTGAAACGTCAGCAGAGCCGGACTTTTCCGTCAACGAAGGCAAGCCCTTTGATGCATATAACCCTACCTTGTATTTTACAAATTGATTTCGCTTTTGCTTTTCAATACTGCATTAAGTGATTAGAAGTCAAGTGGAAACCTAATTGTTGCATTATCAACCTTGTTGTTCCATATCTACCTTGTTACCCGTTTAAAATCGTATATGCCTAGTTATGCTTAGCTCTCGCTAGACCGATCGAGTTGGGTGATTACCGTCACCGCGAGTTTTAAATGGAACTTTGGTTACTTATGTTATCATGTGATATGGCAATGTGGAGTAATAAATCTAGACCGGGCGGACTCGGTGTGTGTGAGCCACAAGACCGGTAATGTCTTGTGAGCGGGTTCTTTCCGCTCAATGTCGATTAAGGTCCGTATCACAGGTGAACCGCTTATGGTGAGACTTTGTAGTACTAACCACATACTCCGGTAAGCCTTAACTTGGCTATTCTATTACGAGAATGGCTACTCGCGACCGGAGTAGAGAGATGGCGGAGTAGCGTGTACCCTCGTGGCTGGAATGTGGCGGATTTGAGGTGTGTCTTTGTGCTCTCGGGTGGCGCGGACCCGTTCTTGTTTAGAGGATCCAAGGGTAGGTTGGTATATGTAGGTCGTGGACCTACATATGTCGTGTGGTCTGGAAGTCCCAATTTGGGTTAATAATCGATTCAATCGTCGTTGCTCCTCGGTTATGGAGACTCGCTTCTCTGTTCATCATCGTAGTATTAATAATCGGAACTCGAGAATGGTTCGAGAAAGTGTTGGATATGAAGTTTCATGATCTTAATACGGATCGTGTCGACTTTGTATATGATCCGATGAAATTTTAAATATTGATACAAAGAATTTTGTTAAAATGCTTTTAAGCAAAAGAACTTTGATTATTGCTAAAGCCATACCTTGAATCCTCGAGCCCGCATTCCCGAGTCTTATCGCTTTTTATTTTCGTTAAGTCTTGTTGAGTACTTTCGCACTCGGGGTTTGTTGACCCTTGTTGCGGTGTGAGGCTCATGAGCGAGATCTGCTTTGGATCGTCTTTGCATGACCGTTGTTCAATCTTGATGATGATAAGTAATGTGTGGCCTTTAGGCGAGGCGTGTGATATTTGTGTGTTTTGTATATATTATAATGCCACTCCACTACTACGTTTTGTAATAATAATCGAACTTAGTTTGTAAGGTTTGAAATAAATGTTTTGTAAACTAAGTTATTGTAAGACTTCCGCTGATTTACTCTGTGTTGATATTTGGATAAATGTTGTAATACTGCAATGACTCTGTAATGTGATCCTGCTCGGAAATCGTGGATGATTCGGGGTTCTCCGAGGACACCCGACAGTCTTCTTAAGTTATCGGTAACATATGCATAAATGTCAAAAGTCGTTGGACAGTGACAGGTGCATGTGGGCCCTATAATTTAGGAGGTTCTGCCACAAGTAGGCAGGAGAGGATGGGGACAACATGATAGATCCTGCCATCCTAGCGCGCGCTTGGTTCTGCGAGATGCAGACGTCTGGTCAGTGATGCGGCTTCCTCATCCGGCGATTGGTTCCAACTTCCACGAAGATGAGACCGACGGTGGCCGGCAATCAAAGCGCTATTATGGACGTGGTTATGCACCTTGCGGGTCTCTGCGGGACTAACGTTTGCTGCCGCAAAGCCCGCGAAACTTTTGCTACCCACATAATTTAGTTTGCGGACAGCCACAAACCCGCAGGCATTTGTTTGCGACGAGCTTTGTGGGTTTGCGGTTGGCCACAACCCACTCCGCCTGCATCGCTAGTTGAACCTGACAAAAATTAGGTGTGGCTTTTCATTTTTGGGCATTTGGCTTTCCACCCAATTCATGCTATTCGGCTGCAAACTACCTGACATATATACGATGCCTCCTCTCTAAATTTAATGGAGCCAATTCTAGGAGAAGCTGGAACAGTCAGCTCAACAATATATCCCAGACTGAAGAAAAGTAATAGACATCCGATGCATTATAGAATTCCACTCAAAAATAATATTTAGAAAAAAGAGGAATAAGATCATTTTCAGCAACAAAAACCAAACAACATAACAGGTGGCCTATATGGTGAAAGAAAATATTTGTTAACGTAGTAGGGCCTTTGCTTTCTTGTGTTGACCTTTTTGGCACATGCCTTTGTCCCTCTTTTTTGTGTTGTTGCAGCCTCATAGGGCCAACAAGTCCTATGAGCGACCTAATGTTGTGTGGTGTGTCGGGAGGCTTACACTTGCCCTCCCAGTCCTTGTAACTAATCTCTCTTTTCTTTCTTAATTGAATGGCACTGCTCATTTAATTCACAACAAAATTGTACCAAAAAAACTACCAACATATAGCAGATAGGTGAGGTTCAAATAGTATATGTGGTCCAACTAACCAATGATCATTTGTGGACAAACTTAGAAAAAATTGGAGAATTTTCAGCAATATTCCTTTATGAGTTAAAATTACCATCCCAATTATAGAAATAATCTTAACTGAAGCAAACAGATAATTAATCTTCCAACCAGTGGACTCAGCAAAACATCAACCATGAAAAAACAATAACCAAGGACAGATTAAGTGTGCACCAGGAATATCTTCACAGTCATTATCATAATTCTTAACCGAATACAAAGCATGCAGCCATGCAGGTGCACCATAACATAACATGCATGGTGGCTTACACTTCCCTAAATCAAGCTACCCAACGGAACACTTAGCATTTTAAAGCATCGACAGAGTCAGCTTCATGAATTTGTAATTAGCCAGATATTGCCGTTCATAATTTGGCCAGATAGCGATTATTTTGTCCATTTGCTCCAACCACGATCTGAAAGGTACCAAGCATACAAGTATGAATTATTTCATAGCTCACTTTACATAGTTTTCTCAAGATTGAATGGTAGAGATTGTCTATCGTGCATCAAAAAATTGCGGAAAATCAACAACTTTGCAGGCACATCTATATAATACAAGGAATCATCCTCAACAAGTTGAACAGAACAAAATTAGGGGCGATGTTGTATGGTCAAGTACTACAGTTTGAAAAGACAAAGGTATCATTGATTTCCACAACTAAATCTACAATTAGAACAACTACATTGTCACAGAAGTAATGTGTACACTAGCAACGAAAAATTGCCGGGACCACATTTTGGAAAGTACCAAGTACAAAGCTCAAAGCATTCTAAAGCTCAATAAATACTTATAGGATGAAACTCCTAATACGTATGGAGGGAGTAAAATAACACACAAACCAAAAGGCCACAAGGAACAACAACAACAACAACAACAAAGCCTTTAAGTCCCAAACAAGTTGGGGTAGGCTAGAGTTGAAACCCAACAGAAACAATCAAGGTTCAGACACGTGAATAGCTGTCTTCCAAGCATTCCTATCTAAGACTAAGTCTTTGGGTATATTCCATCCTTTTAAGTCTCCTTTTATTGCCTCTACCCAAGTCAACTTCGGTCTTCCTCTGCCTCTCTTCACGTTACTATCCTGACTTAGGATTCCACTACGCACCGGTGCATCTGAAGGTCTCCGTTGCACATGTCCAAACCATCTCAACCGGTGTTGGACAAACTTTTCTTCAATTGGCGCTACCCCTAATCTCTCACGTATATTATCGTTCCGAACTCGATCCCTTCTTGTATGCCCGCAAATCCAACGCAACATACGCATTTCCGCGACACTTAGCTGTTGAATATGTCGTCTTTTCGTAGGCCAACATTCTGCACCATACAACATAGCAGGTCTAATCGCCGTCCTATAAAACTTGCCTTTTAGCTTCTGTGGTACCCTTTTGTCACATAGGACACCAGACGCTTGCCGCCACTTCATCGTTGACAAGGTAGAATTTTGCTACGTCATCATAGCTTGCAAAATATGAAGAATGATTCTTAATAGGTGAAGCTGAACAAAATTAGGTGCTATCAAATATTCAATCTAGCACAGGTATCATTTCTGTCCATCCAATAAAACATCTACAAAATCAATTTCCTCTGGCACATGTATCATTTATCTCTACTAGTCAACAAGATATCTACAAAACCAGTATCTGAATGACATATAGAAGGTTTAAACTACAGGGTTAGAAAAAGGAAAGCATAGGGCTGAAAATGTACCTGGAGTGAAGAAGCTAATGAAGGGGGTGATCCCACAGTAACCCCTACATTCACCTACCTTCCTGACCCTTCCAGACTTCAGCTCAAATGTGAAGGCACCAACATCTGTGCTTATGAAGGAAAACCTCAACGCCATCAGCAAAACCAATGACATTAGCTTTTACAGAATAAACGCCCACAGGCAATATTTCCTTAAGTTTGATGACCCTCTTATTTACCCATCCTGTAACTCCCTCTGCATTCACCATTGTCGACCAAAGGTGAAGTCCTGAACCCAACATACTAGCAATCCCCAATGAACCATCCTCATTTTGCATGAGGACTGGATCATGTTGATACAGGTATGGCATGCCAATTAAAGACAAACGGTGTACGACCAAATCATACTTCAGAATTCTACGACCATGATCAATAGTGCAGTAGATTCCATCTCCGATAACAGCAGCACGCTTCATGTCGAAGTAGTGTAGACCGTGTAATTGGTGTGCACCAGGAACGAGATTCCGATGAATAAACATGTGCATGGAAAATGGTGTAGTTGGAATCGGCGATGCTCACACAAACCACACGGAACCGACCTCCGCGGCAGCTTGTGGTGATTGCAGCCAGGCTCAGCGCAAAGCACCAGGGCGTTGGATTGGAATGGGTACGACGAGCTGGGCGCCTGCAGCTCCTCACAGTGATTGGAGAATGGATCCCAGACAACAAATTTCCTGCTGCCAATCTCTCTGAGGAGGACGCGGCCGTGGCGGCAGTCATAGACCGATCTAGCACCGCCGTTGCCGTACCTTGGCTGGGGCCGCGAGGAGGCTGCCGTGGCGAGGAAGAAACCAGGGAAGGGCCCTACGGAATCGAGATTGTAGAAGAAGCCGAGCAGAGGGGCACCTCAGTGGAAGGCGCGGTAGCGGCGGAGGAAGGCCGGGTCGGAGGCGACGCGGAGCCAGAGCTTGCAGACGACGGAGGCGCGGAAGAGGTGCGCTGGCTCGTCCGGCGGGATGCGGAGGAGGATCTCCGCGGTGACGTCTTCTTTCAGCTCCGGCGTCCAGCGCTGCCGCCGCGCCATGGGGAGGGCCGGAGGGGTGTGGGCGCTCGTGCTCAGCGGAGGTGAGGGTTTGGGTGGGTGGGGATTGGGGGAAGACGGAGGTGGACTGGTGGGTGGTGGACTTGTGGGCGATGGACTGAAAGTGGGCCGGTGGAGCAAAGCCCACATGCCAATTTTGGTGTATCATGGGCTCATGGCCTCGCAAGCAATTTGGTTTGCTAAATTTTTTGACAGTACGTACATAGGACGTGGAGTTTATTGGTTTGTTTTTATACAATCAGTTGGACATTTTTTTTCATATATACAAGAAAAAAAGTTAACTGAATTTTCATTATTTCAGGTATCGAAATGCTAATAATCATGTGCATTTTTCTCGAGACGCTGGGTTAATTACATTCCTTGTGACAAAACAATATATCTTGACAAAGTGTTCTACTTGACACGAAAGCTTATATGTTTCTTTAGATTTATTGTTGCAAGATTTAACGCTGTCATTTTTTCAGTACAAGGTGATATGGCCATCAACAGCAAGTCAAATGTGGTGGCTTCAGTCTCGCAAATAGCCAGCTCAATCTTTTATTGGTGCTCAAGAGCAAGTGTGTATGTGTGCGGCCTTAAAGGTGAATTTAAGGACGACTACTTGATATTTTAGATGTACTCGTGAATGGTAGGATGTTTGTAAGTGTGATCATAGAGTTCTATTTGCTTCTGGGTTTATGACCATTTGTAGTGTGATTTGAAAAGAAAAAAACACAATTCTGTTTGGTCATTTTCTCCTTCCTTAGAGCATTCCCAATAGTTCCAAAATGCCAATTGGTAAATCAATTAGTTTTCCAAGTGGCTAAAAAAGGTTAAGAGCATATTTGTTGGATTCTTCAAATCGTTTTTAAAAATCTCACTCCTAAAAGATAGAAGGCAATTTTGCATCAGGATTCCCAGACTATTTCCATATCACCCCGACCGCTTTTGTTCTTTTTTTTCTCTCTTATACATTTATATTGGAAACCCTGTCCTACTTCTTATCCTTCTCCACTGTCCTTACTCCTTATTGTTCCTCAAGTCCTTGCATTTCTTGACTGGCCAATTGATACACGTGCCACATCGTCCTTCCACCTCCAGATTGTCCGGCTGATACACGTGCCACGTCCTTCCACGTCTAGATTTGACCAATTGATGCATGCACGTACGCCACGTCCTTCCATCTCCAAATTGACTGAGGTTGATATGCACACGTATAATTTTGCGTGATTGGATTGATTCTCTGAAGTACAGAAAGATTGAGAATTGAGATAAGCTGTTGGAGAGCAGATCTTGTCAAAAAAAAATCAAGATTGGAAGTGGGTGTTTGAAACTCTTGGAGATACTCATATTTGGTTCTCTTTTCTTGTCGTTGTATAGTGGGTTTTCTCTTTTGAAATTAGTATGAATATATAATTGGAGGTGTGCGTGCGCCCCTTCTGTTTTCCTTCTAAAAAAACAAATTATGATTCTGAACTTCCATGAAGGTGGGATGAACAGCCCTCTCAATCAGTTACACCAAAAAAATACCGACTACTACTTTCGTCAAACGGATCTTCGTGCGCGCGCCTGCCGCATCCGTAGTTCGCGTGGGAGTCCACATCTGCGGAGTCCGCGCTGTGCAGCTTGACGACTCTAAGACGCAAGGATTCCCTCAGTTTTAAATCGAGATCTTCCCCATGGCCGGCCAAGCGCCGCCGCCGGGTGCTACGCCGCTAGCAGCTCCGGCAACCTCCTGAGTCCTGAACCCGGCCCCTGTGCCGCCGGGTGCTGCGCCGCTCGCGCGTTTCAAAGCCCCTGTGCTGACTCCGCACGTGCGCAGCGGCACCACGCCGAACAGGGTCGTGCTCTCCTCCGTTCTGCCCCTGCAGCATGATGTCATCATGCTGACGTCATATACAGCCTTCTCCCTTGGAAAATAAAATCAATCAGAAATACACTAGAGATACTTGAAAGCAATGCACACGAGCCGTTCGTCTCTGGGTCAGCAGCCAAGATCAACAGCCATACTCACCGTGGCCACGGTCAAACCTAACTTGCAGGCAATTTTCACGTCATGCATGGCACTGGTGATACTATCGATGTATGTGAAGCAGGGTGGGCCCCCTGTACATGTCCGTGTTCAGCCAGCTAATGCAGTAATGCTGCTAGCACGATGTTGGTATGGCCATGCTACCAAATTCAGAGCTGCAGGGAACTAAAAGCAGTATATGGGTGCCATTCGGAAAAAAAAAAGCAGTACGGGCGCTTTTATTTTTGGTTATTTAGATTATGAAGTTTATTCGCTGGAATATGTTTTTTTTCTTGAAGATGTAAATTAAGGTGGAAAATTCCTATATTGCATTCTTTTGGAGCCTCCTTATTTATCTTGCTACTTTTCAAAGGTAAAAAAAGGATATGTGTCAGGATAACAAGTTTACTAGAAGCTGAACTGAGAAGAACATAACTAACCTTTAAGTAAGTTACTACTTTGGTAATATATCTCACGTTAATGTGATATACACTTATACTCAAACGAGCTTTAAATATTTAAAAAAAAAATCTTATATGCAGGACGACAATTCCAACGTAATGACAACGTTTCAACATAGCCAGGACAAGATGTGGTAGAATAAATAATTATAATGAACACGGTTTTGTTACAGTATGAATTAGATTGTTTCAATTTCATATTGAAACTTGAATACTTGGTGAAGAATGATAATTATGTAAAAATGGATTGTTGCTTTGTAGAAATTATTGTTCCGTGCAACGCATGGGATTTCGATAAAAGTAATGTGATAATATTTGGTTCCCATGCAGCAACGACGGCATGATTCTAGTACTAATAAAAATACAACTAAAACCTGCAGCAATGCTACTTCCGTAATAGCTGAATCACAGTAGCAAGCCAAGCTAATCGATGTTTGGATAAAACTGGCTGCCATCTACTTTTTTTTTTTTCCGCCTCCCTCCCCTCTCCTCTCCCGCCGCCCTCTTCCCCTTGGCCGCCTCCGCCTCCCCCCCCTCATCCGCTCCCCCTCCCCTACCTTATTCCCAGCGCGGCCCCTCCTTCCCCTTCTTCTTCCCCGCCGCCGGCCGGCCCCTCCCCTCCCTCCCCTTCTTCTTCCCCGCCGGATCCGGCCCCTCCCCTCCCCTCCTCCCTTCTTCCGCGCCGGATCCGGGCCCTCCCTTCTTCCCCGCCCCTTCCTTCTTCCCTGCACCTCCCTACTTCCTCGGCGCGGCCTCCCCACCGGCGAGATCCGGCAGCCGGTGCCGCCCCCTCTCTCCTGCCCTCCCCCAACGGCGAGATCCAGGGAAGGGCCCGCGCGGCGCACCCCAGGCGGTGGTGGAGGGGTGGCCCGACATTGCGGGCGCGGCACGGCGGCGCCCTCTCTCCTCCCTCCGGTGGCGGTGTGGCGCAGGGAAGCCGGACCCGGTGGCAGCGTGGCGCGGGGAGGTCGGATCCGACAGCGGCGTGGCACGGGGAGGCCGGATCCGGTGGTGCCCTTTCTCCCTCCTGCGACACCCTCTCTTCTCTCTCCCTCCGATGGTGGTGCGACACGGCGAGGCTGGATCCGGTGGCGGCACGGCGCGGGGAGGCCGGATCCGGTGGCGGAGCGGTGCGGGGAGGTCGGATCCAGTGGCGGAGCGGTGCGGGGAGACCGGATCCGGTGGCGCCCTTTCTTCCTCCGGCGGCACCCTCTCTTCTCTCTCCCTCCGGTGGTGACGCGGGGAGGCTGGATCCGGTGGCGGTGGTGGCGGGCCAGCGCCAGTGCGAGCGGGGTGGCCGGATCCAGCTCCCTCCCTCATTCGCTCAGCACGGCGGCGTGGATCCAGGGCAGAGAAGGTGGCCGCGGATCCAGGGCAGGGAGGGCGGCCACGCCGTCGCTCAGCACGGCGGCACGGGCCCAGACTCCCTCCCTCGCTCGGTGGCGGCACGGATGGAGGCACGGATGGAGGCGGAGCAGGAGCCTGTGGTGGCGTCCTATGGCTGATGCTTTTTTTTCAAAAAATGTTTGCCGAGTGTTTTTGGGACACTCGGCAAAGTCTTCGTCGAGTGCCCGACGAAAAACACTCGGCAAAATAGCGTTTACCGATAAACCATTTGCCGAGTGTAACACTCGACAAATGGTTTGCCGAGTGCCCCTGGCACTCGGCAAACCTCCTGTATCCGATAGTGCCTGCAGGGCGTTCGATCGATCTGAACACACACGACATCGGCAATGACTGAAAGGTGTGCAGGCATTGCGGGTCATCGTCGGGTTCACATGGACCTAGCTCGCGTCGTGTTGCCCGGCATGCAATGCTGGCGGTGAAGTAATTGTGAAGGCCAACGACGTTTTTTAACTGTTACTATAAAAAAATGAAAAATATGTCCGTGACATGTACAATTTATTATAAGGTGCTCTTGCAATTTTTATGGAATTTATTATATGATATGATGATGCGTTGCAATGTGAATTTATTGTACGGTTTTTATAGAATTTTTATTATTCTGGCAATGAAGCAGTTCGTCGCCTGCCACGGAACGTCAAGGCCGAAGTTGATGCTGCCTGCGTCGGTGACGCCTCCGGGCTCCGGCGATGATATGCCGCCATAAAGGAGCTTCCTTGCTACAGCACGATCAGCTAGCCCTTCTATCAAGGGTCGTACGATCAACGAAATGAAAAAGTCAGACCCAGAGATAAGAATCTATTGTTTTGACATAAAATGGACTCCGATGATACAAACGTCTACTCCGAAATGTGTTTTTGGTTCATTTTGTTTCTGTGTGTGCTTTTAGTAATAGCAATAGCAGATCTGCCCATGCATGGAAGGAATTGTTCCAACCGTCTTTTCTTACTTTCCAAAATTTACCTACACCTTTCAGTCCAGTATGAAATCCACAGATCATGACCTATACTCATACAAGTTTGAACTGCTCGCGCGTCTAGCGATGATATATACTTCAATTCCACGACATATTAAGCCCGTTGCAGTGCGTGGACAGTTTTGCTTGTTTATATTATACCAATGTTAGTCAAAATTTCAATCACTATATCTTGGTCCACATTCGGGAGTCCCGT